CCTCGTTGCGGGGGGAATGGCACCACCCAATGAGAATCCAAAAGGCATTGCCAAAAGCAATCCACAGATATGCCAAATATTTACCAGAATTATTTGTTCCTCTTTGGGCTTTGGGTGTGCTTATGAATCATGTTTTTTGATTGGATTTGGTATACCCATCCCATATGATATGCATATCGTGTGTGGCTGTTGTTTACGACAAGGGTCAGTGACAGGGATTGACATATGAGGGATTGGTTCAAAGGTCAATCGTTCTATTGAATGCAAAAACAAATTTGGGAACTTGTATACAAATTTGGGAAAAATGTAGGAACATACTATAGCACTCGGCATTGCTATAATCGTTTATTACTCGGAATTTTAACAAAAGGTTGTTTGAAAACTGAATGAAGCATAATCAAAACCCGTTGAAACTTTGAAATTGATAAGCTCTTTCAAAGGCTCAACTCAGACAATGCATACTTTGCGGCTCGCAGCTTAAACTTCTACACGCAGGCAAAAATATAACTCTTAATAACTAATAAACAAAACATTTTACTTGAAAATACTGAATATACCACGAAATACATATAAATCGTTTACGTTCTCACACTGAACTTGAATTTGTTGTTGTCAACAAAACCTGTTTCTATGCATGCACGAACATTTTTCACAGAGTGTATGCCATGCCGCGCTGAATAACAGAGAGCGAACAGAAACAAAGAGAGAGAGAGTGATCAGAAGAGCGGCAAACATTTTTCGCCCCGGAGAGAGCGGTAAACAAACGTGAAAAGCTAAAAAGCAAAAACGAAAACAAAATACGAAAGAAAGAGAGAAGCAGCAGCAGCAGCAGCAGCAGAACAACAGCAACAACAAAACCGGCTATCAAAATGTACAACGGAGAGATAGAGAGACGCGAAAATGCCGGTGCGCGAGAAACTTCAACGGCGATCGTCGCATCAAAAGCATTTTCGACTCGCAACAGTAACGACGCTGACGACGGTCCCGTCCCAGTCCCAGTTAACGCGAAATATACAAACGGTCAGACGACGGCGACACAGGCGACCATATTCCTCAGCCACAGCAACAATAGCCATCTCAACAATAGAAAAAACCCGCCAAATTTCCAGCCAAACGCGTGTGTCAACGGCAACGGCAGCAGCAATACACATACAGAGCAGAACGCATCGCAATTTGTGCCAAATTTTAGCAATTTAAATTTTTACGCTAAACAGCCAACGGCAGCGGAGAACAACAACAACTACGACGTTTGCCATCAACAGGTGTGTGTGCGTGTGTCCCCCATTCTCGCCTGTAAAGGGTGTGTGTATGTCCTTAGGTCCGGTGTGTGATATTTTTTCTGTCATACCCCTCTCCACTTACAGTGAATCAAAAAAAATGTACATCAAAGTGGAAAGTTATATATTAAAAAGGATCTTCAATTCTACCGTATATAAAATATTAATCAAGAAGTGAAACTACAATTAATAGTTAAAAAGAAACTTTAAGAATCATTGAGTGGCTTAACTTTTTCAATTCACTGTCCGCCACAGTTGCCGTGTGTGTGTGCGTGTAATCTCTTCTCCAGCCTTCCAACGGGTGTTTGTGTGCTTGTGGGCTTACTACAATTTGTAAACCTTCCAGAGAGGAGAGAGAGTATTGAAGATTTTGTCATTTATCGTTTAATTGCTGAACTCCACATTGCGTTTTGTAGCTCCGCGGCCTTTTGCAATTAATGAAAATGTTAATGAACTTCACACGCTGCGCACTCGGCCTGAGCGATCGCCGTCGCCACTCCAATTTCCTTTATATTCTATTCCGCTTCTTTGGCCAAGAAAGCAGTCCGAGAAGGGGCCTGGCGGGGGGTGAGCTGTCTGGCAGTCGCTCTCTATTTCTGTTAGTTTTTTGTCCAAAAGTTTCTTCTGTGTGGCACGCGAACTGGGTTCGCTCTCCTTGCTCTTCTTTTGTGCTCGTTCTTCGTGGGCATTCTTCTCTGCACTCTACACCCTTTTCGGAGGTTGTTTCGAAACTTTTGGATTGCCGTTCCAGGGCGTTCAAGATACCTGAGAACTTGTTTCTCCGTTTGCCCGCAGATACGAAATTTTAGTGTTTCTGAAATCTAAAATTCTAAAATATTATGAGGAGTAAAATAACCGCGATTAAAAAATACTCGTAGACAGGGGAGACCCCACACCACTGAGGATAAAACTAAATATGGACGTTCTCAGAAATATAATTAGCACTTTTATTATTGCAGTTATGGCATATAAAAACATAAAGAATAATTATCCTCGTCCCTTGTACAGTGTATAAATTAGTCGACTCTGCCACCAAAATGTTATTCTGATTCCCCTCTTCTTCGTCTGCCAGTTGGGGCGGGACATGTGTGGAAAGTGGACAGACAGACAGTCCACACGAATGTTGAGTGAGATAGGAGTTGTTCTGCTTGGCATCCGTAACCTGAAACTGGAACAAGTCTGGCTCCGAGCCCACTGGCCACACCTCTTGCGACTCGCTGCGGTATTTCGATCCAGGAGTGGAGTTGACGGTTTTAATGGAGATCGCTTTTGCATAACTGTCAAGTGATTTTCCAAGTATCAACTCCTCCAAAATCCCACGCACACCCCACTCGAAACCCACACCCATTCATAGGAGTACTACCCGGTACTAACTTGATACATATCTGACCAATCGCTAACCCACAGCCAAACGACTATTACCAGCAGCAGCAGCAGCAGCCGAGTCAGCAGCAGGCGGATCAGTACGAGGAGAACTTCGACGAAGACATGGAGGCCGAACGTGATCTTGCCGAGGATGCTCAGTGGAAGAAAATCCAACAAAACACCTTCACACGCTGGGCCAACGAACACCTGAAGACCATCGATCGGTCGATAAACAATCTGGAAACGGATCTGTCCGATGGCCTGCGGCTGATTGCCCTCCTCGAGGTGCTGTCCCAGAAGCGTTTGCCCAAGTATAACAAACGTCCAACATTCCGCAGCCAGCAATTGGAGAACGTATCGGTGGCCCTGAAATTCCTTCAGGATGAGGGCATCAAAATCGTTAACATTGGTAAGTAGTCAAATTTTATTCGCCCATATCTGTGTTTTTGTATCTGTTCCCAGAATTCTCGGATTATCTTTTAGCGTAGAAACGATGGGTGGGGTCTGAGCAATTTGAATTATGCTTGGGGATCTCTAATAGTTTTTTTAACCACAACAACGCCAGTGGTCGTGAATGAGTCAACTAACTGTATAAATTAATTATAGAAATTGCAATTCTTTCCATTGAAAATTGCATAGTTTGCCATTTCAAAGCGGAGATACGAAGATTCAACCAAAGATGGGACTCGCCAACGCTACAAGAGTGGAGTGGGATATCTCCGATGTTTGCTGCTGCTGCGGCTGCAGCATTCCACACACTGTTTCAGTGTGGATGCGATTCTTTTTGTATTATTTTGTTGATTCGCTTCCAGACTACAAAACACACACAAAATGATGTCATTGCCGCTGTTATTCAAAGCGCCAGGCTTCAATGCGATTTTACTTTCATTTGTTGTACGTTTGTACGATTGTACGATTCATATGCATAATTCAAGATTGTGTGTTAGCACTGGACTATTAGTAGTACCCCTTTATGCGACAGTATGACAGAGATAAACTCGATTTGAGAGGGAGTTTGATTCCATATCTCTTTGAGGCACTGAAGAAAGCTCGATATCGGGTAGGGCACGTACTTGCTCTAAACTGCTCCCACATACTGATATGTACCCTTAATTCCGATATACTTTTGATGTCTATGTCCCAAAGTAGCAATCGGTATCTTTATTTCCCCTGTGTTTTGTTGGGTTTCACACTTTCGGCTATAAATTCGATATGCAACACAATCAAATACTCGCCTGTACGTTTCTACTTTTCCACAAGAGAGCACCAACGAAGCGTGGACAAATGGGAAGGTTAATTTCATTAGAAACGAGCGTATACTACGTATAGGTATACGCCGTAGAGCTATCATATTCATAGACCAAGTGCCATTGCCAAATCACGAGCGTGGCACAATCCGAATCCCCACTCTCAATGCCAAAAACCAGCTGCAACTGTTAATTTGTATTGATTAAAAGAGAACTACAATGACATCTGGCAGATGTGGCATGTGATATAAGCGTTTTATGAGTCAGTGTGCCTTGGTCGGTCACTTCATTCAGCAGATGAATGATTCTCTCGGGTATTACATTTCCAAGCGCACATTGTAATGGTGACCCCGTGACGCTTTTGATAAGACTTTCCACCCTGGTTTGTTTGTCCCATCTTCGAGAATATACCGCCCCGCGTACAGCCCCCTACACTCCGTTATTCAATTACCAGGCAGACAGACGATCATTCAGTAGGTGCTTACTACTAACATATACAAGATAAGCGCTTGAAATACATACAAACATATGTACACATACTTGTATAATTTCGGAAAAAAACGCGTTTGTCAATAATTGACAGCTAGGTAAATAATGTTTACAGAAATGTTTACATACTCTTTTTCTTTTCTTCTCCTCTCTTTTCTTTTCCTTACTCTTTTTTTTTATCAACAAAATGAAATGTGGGTTTCGCCTTGGAGACAATTTGTTAAGCGACTCTCCCACCTTAGCATTTCTTCCAGCACAATCACATTGGAGTTATTTTTAAAGCTAATCAGCATTGCTGGGGCACTTTCGCTTCGATATTGCTCTACTTACCGATAAGGCTTTCCCATATCGAACTGACCAAACAAAAATCGTTGACGTCTGTCGCGAAATTTGAGGATTTAAATTCTCGTAACTCAAGTGCTCCCACTTTTTGCGAGGTTTTGGATGAATCACTCCATTATTTAGGTTTGTGACTAAATTTGTGCTTAATTCTTTATATAACCAGGAATTTTAACCGTAAATGGGGTTTGTCATCAAGGCAAATGTTTGCCAAATTTTTGCATTTACCCAGATAATGGATGAGTTATTTTGGCGATTATCGTTGCAAAACAGAAATGAAATATTTTAAGTAAATAGATTTAATTAATTTAACGAGGCGACTGCCGCACCTCTTCCTGTGGTTGTGTTTTCCCGTTGGAACAGTGAAAGCTGCCAAAAGAGAAATTCGAAATTCTCTGCAGAGGAAAACCCAAACTTTTGCGACATTCCTGCTTTTTGGGTTTCCACTGTATCTCTCAATCTCCATCCACGCCACAATTCATTTCTACGCGAGTATTTCCTTCTTAGTTTCTTTTCTTTTTTTCGTGCTTTTGTGCTGTCAATTGAATTAGCGCGAAATTTTGTGGCTCCAAGCAGCTGCTGGCGCTGTGTCTGTAGCTCCAGAGTTTTTTAGATTTCCATCGTACGTGTATCGGCTTTGCCAAATGTTTGCGCTAAAATATCTACAGAAAACAATAATAAAGCAGTCGGACAGCAGCAGCAGCAGACGGGCAATAAAAAAGGCTAAAAACAAGCAAATAAAAGTAAAAAACAAAAAATTAAAATTAAAAGTACGAAACAGAGAGAAGAACAAATACATAATATCCAAAACGTACGTGAGCGGTGTTGGAGTAGAGATAAAGTCGCTCAGAGCGAACTTCCCATGACATCATACACTCCACACATCTGGGGGGACTGAGAATAGGGACTGGAACGAAGTTGGATTGTTGGCAGCGAAGAAAACTTCAAAGTCAGGCTCAATTTGTCACAGGCAATTGATTGTTATTGATGACGCCATCATATTCGTAGCAAAATCAACACCAAAACATCATCAATATTACAGATTTTCCTAGGGATGAGTCAAGCGGCAAATAAATATGTTTACAATTTCATTTAATGGAAGGCCTACTCCTCTTTATGAACCATTTGACCCACATTCGTATTCTTTCGATTGCTTGTTCATTATTTGTTCCAATAAATTGTACTTAAATTTAAAAACTCATTAAGTAATATGTGTGCATGGAGAGAATAGCCCCAAACCCTTCTTATCGCACACATTCTTAGTAGAACATTCTTTGAAAAAGGCAAAAACAAACTGGGAATGTTGATAAATTCGTTAGTTGTTTTTTTTTCCACTCATAAACAAGCTTCCGTTTTGCTCAACATATTTTGAGAATTTAGGCGTATCTTTGGACACTTGTTTGCTAAAGCCAAACTCTCACGTCAGATGAATCATAGAAGACTGAATATCAGCCTGAATTTCCGTTGTATTTTTGCTGAATTGCTCAGAAATGCCTGGTATTGATCACCTGCGCTGGCTGCCTGTCATGCAGTCAGCACGTACTCATCCGGTGTTCATAAGTCATTTGCAACAAGCCGTGACATGACGCCATTGAATAGGAGTTTGAACACGTCACCGATGTGGCCTAACCCTTGGATTCTGATGCACTCAATGGAATTATAAATATAAATAGAAATGATGAAGTGATGGGATGGCAATGGCAAATCATATTGTGATTAGATTAAGTTTATAAAAGCATTTTTATAGCTTGAACCGCTGGAACCTCTCTCTCTCTCTCTGTCTATGGAATGCCTTCGGTCATTTATTCAAATTAGCAAGAGAGATCCAGAGAGATCGCGAGAGAGACAGGCACCCGGTTCAATTAACCCCAAAACAAGTGACAAAATTACAGAGTCAGGGACAGCGACAGAGACAGAGACACACACACAAATGTGGGGCAAGAAAACAAAGCGGCGCAGCCAGCAACAACCCACATCGAAAAGATCGCCCAAAAACGGAGCTTGAAGCGGCTTAAAGTGTCAAGAGGGAGTAGACATGCATTTGGTTTGGCCAGGGCAGGCTCCAACTTTCTAAGCATTTGGAGTAGGAGTTGGAGTTGAAGTTGAAGTTGAAGTTGAAGCTTAGCCTGCCACATGCCCTGACTCTAATTTAATTAGCCACGCAACAGTTAGACGATGACTTCCAGTCTGGATGCGAGTGGAAACTGGTTTTTCCGTTGGGAAAATCTCAACAGACATTGCACTCCGTCTCTGGTTGTGGCTCCAGCTCCCTGTCTCTGTCTCTGGCTCTGGTATGCGCGTGCCGCTCTAAGAACGTGTCTGGCGACTGACCCAGACCAAAGCCGGTTGAATGCAAGCAAAGCTGGTGGCAGAGTCGGGTCTGTGGCCCCCAGAATCAGAGAAGTTGCAGCCTCAGCAGCACTGACTTCTCCCCTCTGGAGTCATGTTTATCTGAATGTTAAATACTTTTCCACTGCAGTCTGCAGCACTTAACATCATAATAATTCTTGGGGGCAATCTGCAGAGCATATAAATCATGTCAAGTCGTCATTTGGCATGGCATGGCGTGGCCAAGAAGAAGCCGATTGGAAACAGTGCAGTGGAAACAGTGTAGCTCCGATGTCCGGAGACGTACATGGGCGGGGTGGACATATCCGATTGCCATGGAACGGTCATGGGCTGGGACAATGACAGCAAAATTATGATGGATTGTGGCCTCCAATTGTTGAGAGGATGCTCCGATTCATTTCTCTTTATTTCTTTCAACAATAATTGCGGATTCTTGCAGCTATCTAACTCAGTAACTCAGTACCCATGAATAGATGGCGCATAATCTTTATAAGCTCTACATGATATTATTTAGACTAGATCTTATCGTGCCGTGATAAAGATTAATTCGCTTCCAAGAACTGTGCTTGTTCTCATGATTAATTCTGGAGTTTGGGGTCTGCATATATGTTTAATAGATTTGATGGATATAATGGAAACCCCACAAGACTCTTCAGACAGACACATTTTCTTCACACTTATGCATATGTATGCATGGCTCTCGACTGGAGATGGAGTGTCTGCATTCTTTATCACAGTTATGGCATCTTCTGCTACCTCTTCCACACGGACAGACATTAGCATATTTCTTAATAATTTACAGCCCATTTTCATGTTCGCGCTGTCGTGCCAAATACAAACTTTGGGGTTGACAACCAGTTTGGGTATCCATGGAGCCACATCATCCAGAGTTGGAGACTCTCCCCGCGGTGTGTCTTGGAGGATTGGCATGCCAACCGACTCAGAGTGCTGCCTAATTAGCCAAATCATTTCTAGCTATTTATTTATTTATCCATCTTCCATCTAACCATTTTGTTTTTTTTGTGCCGTTTTAATTGTTGCTTTCTTTCTACTCGCCAAATGGCATTGGCAGAGGAGCAAAGCAGATTGGAAATTGGCTGGAATTTTGTTGGATTGGATTGGAATGGAGTTGTTGCACTCTCCGTCGGTCATTTCAATGCGCTGCTTGCCATTCGATGTAGTTTTTCATAAATATGTCAACAGACTGAGCATACAGATTGGCAGGCAGCTAATTTGTCATATGTTCAAGGCATTTTGTTTGCGCTTAAAAGCGTATTTAAAACCTGGTCAAACATAGAGATGGCCAAGCCTGCCTGACAATTTGATGGCTTTTAGGGGCCAGCCCAGGCCTGGCCAGGCCAGGCCAGCCACCATTCAAGCAACCAATCCAGCCGGTTTCCCATGTCCAGGCAGGCAACAAAGACAAGTTGCAAATTTAGCTACAAAAAAAAGTTGTTATTGCTTTTGCGGGTGTCCGTTCAAGAGAGGGTGGGGAAAGAGGTGGCGGTGAAGGCGACTCTATCAGCAAACGTTTAACGGCTCGTTGAACAGACCCAAAAAAAATGGAAAAGAAAACTGAAAGATAAATGTAGATAAAAGATAAAAATGTTCTGCTGGTAGCAAAATAAATCTAAGAAATTGTATGTGTAAGTCCGAACATTTTATACTCTACAATTGGGAGAGAGTAAGAAATAATTCCTTAGACTCATTTTACTTAGAATTTGGGAGCAGTGACAAAAACAACAGAAAATAAACCAAGCTTATCAGATACTCATCGATTAGATCAGCAATGAGTCTCGTTGTCTTCTACGGAATTCTCTGTATATAGAGTACCGGAAAAGCTCTACTTGTGTGCCCACAATGTGTATCATCTACGTCACTTGAGTACTTGCATTTGTCGTCACTTCTGTCCCTGTTACCATTACAATGCTGCATGGCATGCACTGTGTTTTTGTGTTAGCAACTTTCCCCCTATATGTATGTTGGATATGGCATTCCATTCGATTCGATACGCTGCCATGGTTCAGTGCGTGGCAAATGCATTCGCGAGTATAACCCCAAAGAGGGTCCGAGTGTGGACTAATCTGATGATAGGCAATTAGGCCGATCTGCTTGGGGATGCGATGCCTTTCACTTTGCGGTGTTACGGCAATAAAAATCGAGTCCATTCTTAGGTTGGGTGTAGGTTCAATAAACCCATATAAAAACTTGCGTTCCGTTCGACTATTTTGAATTGTTTTGCATGACAAAAGACGTCCGAGCTGCGAGCCGAGACGCTTTTTGGCCAAGAGAGTGTGTGACCTTAAACTTGGCCAGACAGAAACCGACCAGGCAGGTTGCGTGTGGCAAACAGCCCTGAACTTGACCGGCAAAGGAGACGGCAGAGGATGAGTATTACGAGGAGGGGGCAAAGTGGCTGTAACAGTTAGCGGACATCTTTGTACATAATTGGCAGCTTGTCGACCCCAGGCCGGGCCGAATGAATGGCAACAGGTTTGCAACAGGCAACCGAACCAGAACGGTAGGCAGTAAAGTGTTGGCATTGACAGATGCCTGCAGCAATTGCAGTGGCAGCCACAGAGATTGTTAAGGCAATTAATAGATACATTAGGCTTACGACGGCTTTTGAGCACTCTTAACGGTTGCCGGTTCGGTTCTTCCCGTTTTGTCTGCCAATTCAATTCGATTTAACTTTAACCCATTCCACATTGTTTATGCTTACAGACTCCTCGGACATTGTGGACTGCAAGCTGAAACTGATATTGGGCTTGATATGGACACTCATTCTGCACTACTCGATATCGATGCCCATGTGGGATGGCGAGGATGAGAAGCAGCTGAATGGCTCTGGGCCAACGCCCAAGCAGCGGTAAGTGGAGATCCTGATCCAGTGACTCTTTCCGATACTTAATCTTGCTCTCCCGTGTGTTGCAGCCTACTGAACTGGATACATGCCAAGATACCCGATTTGCCCATCAATAACTTCACCAATGACTGGACCACTGGCAAGGCGGTGGGCGCTTTGGTTGATGCCTGCGCCCCAGGCCTGTGTCCCGACTGGGAGATGTGGGATTCAAAGGATGCGGTGCAGAACGCCTCCGAGGCCATGGGTCTCGCTGATGATTGGCTGAATGTGCGCCAGCTGATCAAGCCCGAGGAGCTGGTCAATCCCAATGTGGATGAGCAGTCCATGATGACGTACTTGTCGCAGTATCCCAACTCCAAGCTAAAGACCGGAGCACCATTGAGGCCCAAAACGAATCCCAACAGGTGAGTGCGGGCAGGTCTCCAAGTCTCTAAGATATACGAGTATATCTGTCTCTTGTTGTAATACTATTTCTCTCTCTATCTCAATTGTAATGAAGTTGTATTTCCCTTTCGGCTAATGCATTATTTCCGATTATAATCTCGAATCTCGTATACTCTTTTTTCTGTCTTTCTCTCTCTTTATCTCTCTCTCTCTCTTATCTTTCTTTATCTTTTCGAGCAACCTTTTAATGTATTTTGGATATTGTTCTTGTTCTCCTTACCCTCTCTCTCTCTCTATATATATATATATATATATTTGTGTATATATCTACTACTACTCGTACCTTGTATTTTTTATTAAATGCCTCAAACAAAATGCAAAACTCAGCATTCCTCCGCCGCGGTAAGTTTTCGGCATGCCCTCTTCTGTTCTCCTCTCTCTCTCTTCTCGTTCGGTTATGGCCTTACACGTTTGGCCCCCAACGTTCTTTCGTTCGTTCCGTTTTTGGTTTTTCTTTTGCCGGCTTCTTTTTTTTTAAGTTTTG